CTTTTGAATTTTCATGTGAATTTTAGAATCAGCTTGTCAATTTCTGTAAAGTAGCCTTTTGGGTTTTTTGTAGGAATTGTATTGAATCCATAGGTGATTTGGGGAATATTGCCATTTTAACAAAATTAAGTCCTCTGATACATAAACAGGGGTGCTGTTCCACTTATTTAGGTCTTCAAAGTCTTTCAACGATATTTTTTAATTTTCAGTGTTTATGCTTCCTCATTAATTTTATTGCTAAGTATCTTATGCTTTTTGATGATCCTATAAATGGAATTGGTTTCTTAATTTTGTTTTAGATTGTTCATTGCAAGTGTGTAGAAATGCAGTTGATTTTCATATGGATACTCAAAAACCTTTTAGAGCTAGTTTGTTGGTTCTCTTTTCGGAAGATTCCTTAAAATTGTCTATATACAAGGTTATGCCTTTTGCAATAAATAGTTTCGTTTTGTCCTTTCCAATCTAGATTTTATTTTATGTTCTTGACTTATTCTCCTAGTCAAAACCTCCCAGAAAATGGAAAATAGAAGCTGCAAGAGTGAGAACTCTTGCCTTTTTCCTGATTTTAGGGACAAAGCATTCAGTCTTTCATCATTAAGTATTGTCTTAGTTGCCCTGTTTCATAATATGTCCTTTTTCTGGTTGGGGAAATTACCTTTATTCCTTATTTGCTTTTTTTTTTTTTTAAATCATGACTGAGTGCTGAAATTTGTCACTTTTTAAAAAAAATCACGACTGAGTGCTGAATTTTGTCGTTTTTTTTTTCTTTTTTGTATCTACAGAGATTATCATTTTTGGGGGGTCTTTTATTGATAATGGTATGTTATAGTAATTTTTGGATGTTAAACTGACTTTGCATTTCTGGCATAAATCCCACTTGGTTATAATGCACAATCCTTTTTATGTATTGATGGATTCAGTTTGCTAGTATTTTGTTGAAGATTTTTGTTTATATTCATAAGAGATAGTGGTCTGTAGCTTTCTTGTGATATCTTTGTCTCAAGCTGATGTCAGGGTAATATTGGCCTCAAAAAGAGTAACAAGTGTTCTCTCCTATTTCACTTTTTAGCAGAGTTTGTGAAGGGTTGGTATTCGTCCTTTGAATGTTTGCTGGAATTCACCAGTGAAACCATCTGGACCTGACTTTCCTAGTTTTTTTTATTAATATCCTGCTCAGGTCTTTTCAGATTTTCCATTTCTGCTTGATTCAGCTTTGGTAGTTTAGGTCTGTCTCATCTGAGCTACCTAGTGTTACCATGTTACCATGAGGCTGGTCACAGGAGCCCCTTATAACACTTTATATTTCTGCAAGGTCTGTAGTAATGTCTCCTCTTTCACTTGTGATTTTAGTAATTTGAGTCTTCTCACTTCTTTGGTCAGTCTGGCAAAAAGTTTGTTAATTCTGTTGATATTTTCAAAGAACCAACTTTGAGTTTCTTGATTTTTCTCTATTGTTTTTCTATTCTTTATTGTACTAACTTCCACTGTAATCTTTCCTACATTTTTCTTCCTGTGGGTTTAGTTTGCTCTTGGAAGGTGGGTGATTAGGTTACTGATTTGCAGTCTTCATTCTCATTTAACATAGATATTCATAGCTACAGTTTCCTTCTAAGCACTGCTTTAGCTGCATCCCCTCCGTGACTTTTTGACATTTTTTTTGCTTTCTTGGCATTTTATGCTTTCTCTCCAGTTTGTGCCCCTGTCCCTAATGCTCCTTGTGACCCCCTTTTCTGCCCAGTCCTTACTAAATGTATCCAGAGAGCTTGGCCTCCTAACCATGCGAGTGCTGGGTCTTGTCTCACTAACGCCCCCTAGCAGCTCTGAGAAGAAGGTGCTATTATTACCTCCATCTTCTGGTACAGGCAACTCAAGTACACAAAGTTTAAGTAGATAACTCACCAAGTTCTCTTACATCAGATTCGGTCTTCTTTCTTGCTACATGCCTTCTCCCTTGCTGATTTTTACTTTTTATAGTGCTGTTTATATGTGGATGAGACCCACATATTTATCACTAGACTAGACTTCTCTGCTGAGCTTTCAGACTATAGCCCAGTCATCTACCAGATACTATCTCTACCAGTCTGTCCTACAAACCTGACCCAATCACAGCTGCTCCCTCATCACCTTCTTCACACCTACTTCTTCTTAATCTTGACCTTCATCTTGACTAATGATGTCACTGCTCACCTGCTTGCCCAGCTCTGCCCCAGATGCCAATGCACATCGGCTTTGTACCCCGGCACAATGTTGGCTCTATCCCTGCCCTTGGACATCTGCAAGAGGCCCCATCTCCTGGATGATGTGCCATTCATCGCTTTGCATCTTCACCCAGCCCTCTGTGACATTCTCCTGAGGGCCCCACACAAAACTAGATGCCCCACTGGGCTCTCCTCCTGTCTTTATGATTTTACCACAGCAGCGACCAGGCAGGGTGTACTATATGCTTTCCTATGCCTGTCTGTCTTCTAATGCTGTGAGCTTCTGTTGGGTGAGCACTGAGTTTGCATATCATCTAGAGGGTTTTTTACAAATGTTTATAAAACAGTGAATTTTATACCTTCTTACCTGCCTGTCTTCTGTGTAACTATCAGGTTCCTGCTTCCATGCCACTACCTTAGGGAAGTTGTTTCTGGTGTCCTAGGTTGGATTAGTTGCCTTCAGACCTCTCTTTTGTAGCACTGCTGTGATATAATTTATTAATTATCTGTGAAGTCATCTTCTCATTTCTGCCTGTTTCACTTAATCCTAAGATCCATGAGAACAGAGGCCCTGCCTTAGGTCTGCCCTCTGCACATGGGTTTTCTGGCCCCTTGCCCAGAGTCTGGCCTTTAGAGGAAGCTCAGTAGATATTTCTTGGACAAGTGCATAGCCATAGCTGTGGAGTCTTCCTATTAATGTTTAGTGTTGCCTTTCTATATTTTGGTTGCCAGTTGAATAATGGAGACATCTTAGCACGGCCAGCAACACATTCACCATACACAGGATGAGTGTGAGCTCAAGACCCGGGGCTCCCATGGAGATTTTGGGGTACGGAGCTTGTTAAGACATTCCCTTCCAGGTAGATGCTCACACTCCAGGCTGGAGCTAAATAGCCATAGTACAAGGCAAGGTTGAGTGTGGACACTGCCTCCCAAGCACAGAGAGAGGCTTGTTCTGAGGTTTTAAGCCAGGTCCCATAGGACATTGCATTTTTTAAAAATGTAGAACAATTTATTATAATTCTGCACTGTCGAGTTAATCATAATGATCTCGTGAGCATTTAATAGACTGTACAAACCCCTGAGCGGGCTTTCCTGAAGCCTTTTGCTGTCAGTGAACGACCTGACATCTCTCTGTGTTTTCCTGTGGCATTGGATGCTTCTTGAGCTTCTCGGTAGGTTAGGGTTTCCAAAGTGCATGCAAGAACAGCCGGAGATTTCATTGAGCAGGTTTGGAGGCAAACATATGGGGAACTCAGAGAGAAATCAGAAGATGGAATGCCAGTGTCCCAGGCTTCGATCCAGTGTTCCATCTGCCAGTGGACATATTTACTGCACAGACCTATTTGCTTCCATGGCTAATTACATTTAATCATTTGCCTCTGAAAATGACTTTGCTGAGCAGTATCTTTTCTTATTGTCCATGGGTTACTAGAGATGGGAAACATGCATATCAGCACCATGGCTTCCTAGAGAAAATGGGTTCCATGCTTCACATTTCCACAGTATTATCTACTTGGGGTAAAAAAAAAATTGGATATTGCTTAATTCTCAACTTTTTTGGGGTATTATATGTCCTTCCTTCCCTCCCAAAGAAGGGACAGGATGAAAGATATTTGGTCATCTATATGTAAGGACAGCACACTTACTCCTTGGGCGAGGGGCGATGTTGGTAATGAAGGAAAACCCCGTTCCATTTCATTTTAATGACCACTTCTGGTTGTTTCTTCTGTTATCTCGATAACACTCATCTCCTGATAATTCTTTTTTTTTTTTTAGATTTTATTTATTTATTTGACAGAGAGACACAGCGAGAGAGGGAACACAAACAGGGGGAGTGGGAGAGGGAAAGCAGGCTTCCCGCGGAGCAGAGAGCCCGATGCGGGGCTCGATCCCAGGACTCTGGGATCGTGATCTGAGCCGAAGGCAGATGCTTAACGACTGAGCCACCCAGGCGCCTCAGCTCCTGGTAATTCTTAAAAAGAAAGTACCTATGACCATTTTGATTTTGATCGAAATTTGATTTGAATGAAAGGCCCCTCCAAGCTCCTTAGTTACCTGTCAACGCTGCTCAATGAGACAGTCTTCACCATGGCCTCAGCCGCACCCAAGCCACTGCTGCCAGCCCCCTGTCACCAGCTGGGTGAAGTCAGGGACATGGCCTTTCCCGATGGCCTCTGTGTTCCAGTGTTCTCATTATACAACAGGAACAGGACACCAGTGCTATGGGGTGGTGAGGATTTCATGGGTTAATATAAACGTTGAATAAATATTAATAGCATCCTACTCTCCACTCCCCCCTCCTTATCCTTATAAAAAATCACATATTACTATGACCTGAATATTGGGTGTTCACAGTACTTTGCATAGAACAGTAAGGGTCCTCTGTGATTGTGCCTGTGTGTGTGTGTGTGTGTGTGTGTTGGGAGGGTGGTTCATTCCCACGTCCCCTCTACCTTTCCTTGATTCCACCTGCCTTGGACTGACTTGGCACCTTCTCCCTAGGCACAGGGATGCTCAGAGTCATGGTCTGAGAAGGAGAAGCAGACGGACTCTTGTTGGCTACTGAATAGAGCGACGGCCCTATTGAAAATTGGAGATGGACCATAATTACTGGATTTAGAATTCTAGAATTTTTAAATGAAATTCAAATTATCTTATGTCGGGACTGTGAAAACAAAATGTATCCCTCCTGTTCTTTTTAAGCTTTCAGAAGAGGGTAAAGCAATCCTTCTCGAGATTTTCTTTACTTCCTTGTTTTTTTTTTAACGAATTCTCTCCCACGTCTGGTTCCCCTGCTAGGTGCTTCCTGGTGACAGTCAGAGGTCTCAAGCAACATGCCGGAGCAGAGCAATGACTACCGTGTGGCTGTGTTCGGCGCAGGGGGCGTTGGCAAGAGCTCACTGGTGCTGCGCTTCGTGAAGGGCACGTTCCGGGAGAGCTACATCCCCACGGTGGAGGACACCTACCGGCAGGTGATCAGCTGCGACAAGAGCATCTGCACGCTGCAGATCACGGACACCACGGGCAGCCACCAGTTTCCGGCCATGCAGCGGCTGTCCATCTCCAAGGGCCATGCCTTCATCCTGGTCTACTCCATCACCAGCCGGCAGTCCTTGGAGGAGCTCAAGCCCATCTACGAACAAATCTGCGAGATCAAAGGGGACGTGGAGAGCATCCCCATCATGCTGGTGGGCAACAAGTGCGACGAGAGCCCCAGCCGCGAGGTGGAGAGCGGCGAGGCCGAGGCCCTGGCCCGGAAATGGAAGTGCGCCTTCATGGAGACCTCGGCCAAGCTCAACCACAACGTGAAGGAGCTCTTTCAGGAGCTGCTCAACCTGGAGAAGCGCAGGACCGTGAGCCTCCAGATCGACGGGAAAAAGAGCAAGCAGCAGAAAAGGAAAGAAAAGCTCAAGGGCAAATGCGTGGTCATGTGAAGGCCGGTCCGTGGGAGGAGCCGTGGCGTGTCCCCCCCGACCCCGTCCTGTCCCCTTCCCCTCCCCACGTGACACCCCCCGTCGTCAGGGTAGCATGTATGATGCCCACGTGTTCAATATCGCCTTTGGACTGAGGTGGCCCTGTTGTCCCCGAGAGGGCCTATCACACCACCACCAATAAGCACCCCCTCTCCAGAATCAGGGATTCTGCCCAGAGGCTCAGATGGAGGCCGCTGTGCCCAGCATCGCAGGGAACTGAGAGAGGCGCCGGCCGTCTCTGAAGGCGGCTCATCCCGGAGGAGGCATCGGGCCGGCAGCCACGGGAGCAGCCTGGGCTGGGGGAAGCAGGTCCCATCTGCATGCGTGTGACAGCGTGTGACCCTGCACCTGCCCACCCCCCCCAAGACCAGGCCTTTCCCTCCGCTTGCTTAGGGGCTGGACACCCTCGGGGGCGGGAGGGGCGGGAGCCCAGGCCAACGTTGTTCCATTTCAGGTCCTTTAGCTGAATTACAGATAACACGGCATGGCATCTCCCCGAGGGTGCTCACTGTCGGGTCCCTGACCCGTGAGCCTCGCCGCTCTAAGGGGAGGCACTCCCATCACTAGACCTAGTTAGCAGGTGTCCCTGTCACCTTTTGGAGTATTTATTTCACCTACAATGATGAGTTCACAAAGGGCATCCTGCTGGGTCAGAGACCCTTCAGGGTGGGAGTGAATAGATGTTTTGACATGACTAGCGCAGCATGGTAACGCTCTGTGTGTTACCCTCGAGAGTTCTAGAAATGTGCTTTTTCCTTCCTTTGACCCATGAGGGGTCTGCTTCTTGCAGCCCCTCAGATTTTAAATAAATGCGATTAAAGTAGCTAGTTTTAGACAATTATTTTCCCTCCAAGATGGTTTCCTTGTTTTCAGTAACTCCATTTGTATCCAGCTGGGAGCAGCCGACAGAGGCCATCCGGAGACCAGAAGCACATCCGTTTTCTAAATCACATGGATATCTATACGCCATACTTGGCAGCTCAAAGAAATACCTTGAAACAGAAGTTGTTCACCGTGTTTTTGATGGTCTGTCTATAACAAAAGTATATTCCTGGAAAACATGTTCAAGTAATAGATTATCTTGCATGCTCCATTACCAGTGTCTTCTAAGAGCCGTTCAATGCGCTGTTCACTCCGGAAACAATTATCTTTTCCTCTTCATGACCTTGTGTGCATCCTTACTCCTCCAGACCGAATCAGGGCCTCTGCCGGTTCCTGCGCACTGGCGAGGAGACGGGATGGCGGCTGGACGCTCAGCTTAACTGCTCTGCCCAGTCTGGTTTGGCTCTGCTTCCAGAAAGTTCCCACTGACAGAGCGCGCGAGTCCTCCTGTTTGTTCCAGGCGGCGTAGCTCACACTGGCCCCGATTCCAGAATCTTCCTTTCAGCAGGGCCTCCTGCCTGGCAGGTGGAGGAAGCTGGAGGGCGTGCCGCGGGCCCCGGGCTGGTCCGGGGAGCCCCCGGCAGTCAGGCCGCCGCGCCAGGCTCCTCCGCAGAGTGGTCAAGTTGCGGACGTTTGCATGCAGCCCCTTCGGTTCTGCTTGTCTCTCCTGCAGCCGCTGTGTCTCGCTGCCTGAGCAGGTCTCCGGCCGCGGGCAGCTCCGTGCACTCGGCACACACCCCATCGGCCCTTTCTGGCTCAGCGTCCTTAGCTTTGCTCTTCCTCTGTGCTCTGCTAGCAAGTCCCCGTGTGGTGGTGCGTGCATAGGAGGCGCCTTCGAGAACCCGCCGCCCCACTGTCTTCCTGCGTCCTGGCCTCCTAGAGGCACCCTGAACAGGGACGATGTGGCCACGGCCTGGGCGCCAGTGGGGTCGGGGGGCCCAGAACGACACCTCAGCCAGACCGCAGGCCCCGGCAGGTCCCGAGGGAGGCCCCGTCCCCGTGGTGGCTGCCCCGCAGCCTTCACAGTGACACCTAGCTGGTGAATCTTCTAGAACGTGTGTTTTTCAACCTATCCCTATTTTGTTTTTCTATTTCTATTCTCAGAGACATGTGGTCGGTTTGTCATTTGGATGTGGGTTAAGTGGAAGAAGAAACAGGACGTCATGGCCACAATCGGAGGCTGGGGTCTGTCATGAGCCGTGTGTCCCTGAGGCTCCCTGCCAGGGGCCCTGTTCCCACTGACAGAAGTCACAGTTCCCGTTCCGCCTCTCACGTCCCTGTCTGCCGTTCAGGTGTTTAGAGATTCATCGATAGGAGAAGCTTTTAATGATTGAAAACCAGGGTGTATTCAGGACCCATTTTGTTCCTTTGTACTTTGCCCATGAGTTTATAGGAAGGCCATTGACGCCTCAGCCACGGGTCTTCGTTCTGCTGTATTTTCTATGAACCGCGCTGAGGGTTTGATGAGGATCTCAAAACAGCCTTTGAGGAGATCCCCAGTTGTCTCAGGGCTCGAAGAGATAGTTGCACTGAATCGGGTGTGTTTAGTTATCTATGTGGCCCCGTCCTGAGTGCGTCACTGTGGTTCTGGAGGACCCGTCCTACGTTGCAGACGGGCACAGAAGTCGTTGGCCTGGCCACAGGACGTCACAAAACTCAAAATACTGCTTTGAAGGTGGCATTCCGGGGATAAGCCTGGGGCTCCACGAGTCGCCTCCTGTCCCTTCCGGTCCCTCCTCCATCTGGTGACAAGCCATGGGCGTGCCCTGGGCATGCATGCAATACAGCAAGACCAACACAAGAGCAATACTGAATTGTTCATTAGACCTAAAATTATATATATATATATTTTATATATATATATAATTTATCTTCCTGCATTTTTGAAGTATAAAGCAGTACATTGTACATATCTGTAAGCTAGCATACTTGTTTCACCATTTCTAATACTGAAGAAATGTTCACTCGTTGTAGAACAAACAACTATTAGAGGTTTTAAACGCTGCTCTGTGATACTTAATTTCCTTTTCAAGATTTGTAATGTGTTGCACCTACATAAGCTCTCTGGAAGCATCCATCACTAATGGGACACACGTAAACCCTCAAAGCTCCATCCTGGAACTCGGTCCCCCACAGAGACTGTACGTGGACAAGAGTATTTACAGAGCATGACTTTTCTACATGTGGGATATCAACGTGTCTATTTATATTTACGGTGTATATTGTTACAATTCCATTATCGATTCTATTTTATTTACTCTTCAGTTATAAAAACCAGCCTTGCATACCAGTTTGTAGTTGCCAGTGATGTTCTGTATAATGGAACCTGTTGAAATAAAGCTTCAGTTCTGACCCCCTGGCTGGAAGGTGGTGGTGTTTCTGATTCTTGGCGGTGTGGCGTGTCGGTGAGGGTCTTAAGCTAGGAGTAGGTCCTGCACCTGCTCCCTGCGCTCACTGCTGGACGGGACACTATCATGCTCTGCGCGGGGCTGGGATGGGGACAGTGTTTCCAGGAGGTTTTCTTTCTTTCTTTTTTTTTTTTTTAAGATTGTATTTATTTGTTTGAGAGCGAGAACTCAGGAGCAGGAGAGGAGGAGAAGAGGCAGAGGGAGAAGCAGGCTCCCCGCTGAGCTGAGAGCCTGATGCTGGGCTCAATCCCAGGACCCTGGATCATGACCTGAGCTGAAGACCGATGCTTAACCAACCGAGCCACCCAGGCGCCCCTCCAGAAGGTTCTCCCAGGTGGTCCCTGATGTGGGAAACAAAGGCAAAAGAAGGATTGAGTTTCCTTGCTGCGTGCAGCCCACTGGCAGGTCCTTGACACAGACAGAGCTACTACATTCCTCTGGGAGCTCAGCTGCCTGGATGTTGGTACTTTGCTAGGGGCGCAGGGCCCCAGGATCCTGTGCCTCTGCTTTGGCATGTAGAAGTTCCTCCGGAGACTTTGTCTCTGAACACCCCCAAGACACATGTTGTTGATCATCCCCCAAGCATATGACCCACCAATGTACATCTGGGGGTCTCATGGTGTTTGTTAGTGGGTTTGCTGTTGAGAAGCCCAGTGCTGTTTCTGGGCTGTTTCTGCTGGACACCCTTGGGCCTCACTCCTCCTTCACAACACTAATTATAATATAAACCTGACTTTTGGTAACACAGGGAAAACCAACAACTATAAACAAGATAAACCCCTTTGTCTGCCCGTGAATAGCTAAGTGACCACGGGCAGGATTTTAACCTCTCTGATCTTCTCAAAAAAGGGGAATTAGCATCTGCTGCGTGGGCGGCCCTTAGGATTAAATTAATAAGCATGAAGCCCTCAGAGCTGTCTTATCACATTCTGAGCATTCAGTGGAAACAAACAGAAGCCTGCGACCATGTCGGACTCTGCCTGGCAGGTTTGTGATGATGTGAAAATTAATCTGTGCAGGTATGACCAGCAACCGGCAACCCTCCCTTTCTTGAAACTTCTTTTAATGGCTTTCCTGCTCTGCCTCTAGGCCTGCTCCCCAACCCCTGGGTCATTATTGCTACATTATCCAGGGGTTTCTCCACTTATGCAGATAATTGCAATCAGTGGGCCCCATTAGGCGCCATTAAAGGGCATCCCATCCGGTACTTACCAGGCATTAAGGTGCAAATAAAGCTCTTTTTTTTTTTTAAGATTTTATTTATTTATTTGACAGAGAGAGAGAGAGATAGCGAGAGCAGGAACACAAGCAGGGGGAGTGGGAGAGGGAGAAGCAGGCTTCCTGCCGAGCAGGGAGCCCGATGAGGGGCTCGATCCCAGGACCCTGGGATCATGACCTGATCCGAAGGCAGACGCTCAACGACTGAGCCACCCAGGCGCCCGGTGCAAATAAAGCTCTTGAAGGACCTGGTGACTCCCCAGAGCTGGGGTCTGTGGGGCTGGGCTGGGCCCGGGGATCTGCATTCCTAGGAGGCTCGAGGCCATGCATCTGGTCACCGACCACACTTGGAGTGGCGAGGCTCTTGTCTCTTTGTACTCCCTTGCTGCTGCATGTTGGAGTCACCTGGAGAAGTTTTGAAACGTATACTGATCTGCAGGCCCTGATCCAGAAATCATAATGTAGTAGGGCTGGAATGTGGCCTTAGCTCAAGATGTTCCCGGGGAATCAAAATGCCAAATTAACGTTGGAGAGCCCTGCCGTGAGCCAGGGTTAGCTGGAAATGTCTGCCAGTTCCGTACACCTGGGGCGGGGGGGGGGGGGGGCGCATTGCTTATTAAATCAAGTTTCTCTTTCGTGAAAGTTTTCTGGACAGCAGACAGCAGATTGGTGGAATTTGTGGGAGGCCCCCGGGCTCCTCCACATCTGGCAGCCCCCATGATTGGCATGGAGAGAAAGGTGTAATCCAGGTAGAGCTCCCACTCACCGGCACCTCCTGGGGGAGTCATGTCAGCTCTGAGTGTGAGGGGACCTGGCAGATCTGGGGTCCCAGCCCCAAGCTGCCTGGGGGGGTTCTATCCTAGGCTGGCCCGATCCCAGGCGCACACTCCATTCCTGACAACTCAAGTTCCTCAAGTTCCTCCGAATCCCAAAGACCAATGGCCCCCCATCCGTCCTGTCCTGGCTCTGCCGACCTGCTGCTGCCCCAGAAACCTCGGCTGGGGGTCAGTGATCACCACTCCTGACATTCTGCTCTCACCTCGTCCGTTCCTTTGCCTCCAGGCCATGGCTCTCCCTGGCAGCATCCTGCGTCCTTCAGACGGGGCCTGAGCCCCTGTGCCTTCCTAGTTCCACATGTCTGGACGGCTCGCAGTCACCTTACCTTTCCATTATCTTCTCTTGACCAAAAACAGCCTTTGCCCAACCTAGAATGTCACATCCCTGGTGGACCCAGAGAGGCCGCCACCTGCCTCAGAGATTGTAACAGGACTTCTATGTCACCATGACAACACTGTTGTTTTTGATGAGGGATGGGAAGGCAGGCAAGCTGAGCACAAAGCACAAGCTGATGCCCCACACCCCCCACACTCCCAGGTGGGACCTTCCCCAGGCCCTCCGGCCACCCTAGAACTAAGGGAAGGGAACACCAACAGTTCACAGAGATCACAGTCCCGCAGGACAGGAGTCTCCCTCAGTTGACCAATGTCTTAGCGATTGACAAGGAAAAGGCATTCTTACCAATAACCTGACTTCCAGAGACCCGTAAGTCAAGATCCTGGAGCCCCAACATCACCGTCCCCTCCACGAGTGACGTGGGAAACTGAGGCAGAAGG